CACACACACACACACACACACACACACACACACACACACACACACACACACACACACACACCCCTCAGTGAGTTTGACAATAATACAAAACCACAAAAGAGCTTTCCTTGCTAATTATGAGTCCCTTCCCTCAGGTCCTTGCCAATCTCCACATCTTAATCAATTCTGCCTCTAGTATTTCTCTTCAATGTATCTCATGTCTTCAGCCAGTATCCATACTGCTCAGAGCCACTCTGCTTTTCCTCCACAGCCTGGACTGGTCCCTCCCTCTTCTTCTCTTGCCACAACCACCCCATCCTCTACCTATCACACTAAAGAATCTTAATTAAAGAAATACTAGTTTTGAACCCAGGTTGTGTCATTTATTAGCTATGTCCTCCTGGGCATATCGCCCAACCTTTCTAATTCTTGCCTTCCTTATCTATAACCTGGAAATAATGTGTTAGAGAGTGTTAATAGTGATTACAAGAGATGATCCAAATACAGTGAGCCAACAGGGCTCTCTAACACTCTGCATGTGGCAGTATAAACGATTGGAGTAATTAAAAGCGACATGGCAAAAGTGTATTCTAAGTGACATATCATCATATCTTGAAATAACAGGAATGGGCTAATCGATCCTTTAAATTCTCAAGGAAACATTAAAATGCTTTTAGTGGATGACATGATACAAAGACATCAATCAAACTCATTGTGATGGTTAATTTTATGTGTCAACTTGCTCAACTTTGGTGCCCAGTTGTCTGGTTCAATACCAGATAACTCGTGCTGTGTGTGTGTGTGTGTGTGTGTGTGTGTGCTTATGTGTGTGTGTAGGTGTGTAGGTAATGCTATGACTCTAAGTGAAGGCATCCACTCTCCATCCAATAAGTCCACTCACCTAGTCAATCAATGACCTAAGGCACAAAACCGCTGATATTGGCCCAGTTTCGAGACTGCTAGGCTAGTCTATCCATGGACTCCAGGCTTGTCAATCCCCAACACACATGAACCCATTTCTCCTCCTCTCTCCCCTCCCCTCCTTTCCTCTTTCCTCTTTTCTCTTCTCTCCTCTGAGAGAGAAAGAGAGAGAGAGAGAGAGAGAGAGAGAGTGTGAGAGTATGTGTGTACCTATCTATTAGTTATCTATTAGTTATCATCCCTGGAGATGTTTGAATGACTCACCAAGAAATCTTACAATTATAGAAAATAGTACAGGACAAAGAAACCTCATCTGGGAAATACTGCTTAAGCCATGTCTATAATGAGCAAAGCTATTCTTAGCGAGCCTCAGTCTCTGCAGAATGTACAGTCACTAGCCAAGGCTAGTGGCCCTGTACTTACTGCCTGGCTATTGACTGAGCATCTATTCTAGGCCAAGTGTTGTACTAATCTGGAGCTAACCACATAGCCACTTCCAGTGCTTCTGCGCCCTTGCATTGATGAAAAGCATCAGGTCTAGTGTCCCATGTGCCACCCCTTACCTGTAAGAGACGTGTGATGGCTTCGTCGTGGAACCCCAGGGCCTGCTCGGTGCCTGCCAGTTCCCTCAGTATGGGTACACACTCGATACTCTTGTCTCCTTTGTTGCTCACAGTATATTCCAGAGCCTCTTTGTAGTGGGGCAAAGCTTCTTTTAATTTCTTCTGACATTGATATACCCTAAAAAAATCAAGTGATTTTTAAATGATTTTTTTTATTAACATACACAGGAGTTGTACAAGGAACACCCAGTGTACGTCACCAAGCAACCCTTCTTCATCACACTCCCTTGCCCCCATCCCCCTTCTTAAAAATCATCTGGGCACTGGTGGCTCATACTTGCAATCCAAGCTACTCAGGGGACTGAGGTCTAAGGATCGCAGTTCAAAGCCAGCCCAGGCAGAAAAGTCCATGAGACTCTTATCTCCAATAAACTACTCAGAAAAAGTGATGCTGTGGCTCAAGTGGTAGAGCACTAGCTTTGAGTAAAAGCAGTTCAGGGACAGTGCCTGTGCTCTGCGTTCAAGCCCCAGGACTGGTACAACAACAACAACAAGAATCTATCTCATTAGCTCTAATTCTAGCAAAAGGATCATTTAAAAATCATTAACATAGGACGGTCTGAAAATATAGGCAGCCTGGTAGTGAGGGTGGGACTCCCTGATTCATTGGCTTGACAGCTAAGCCTTTCCTCCAGGTGGTAGCTGGGCACTGCTCAGGAGGATGAACTTGGGAACCACGGGAAGGTTCCAGTGCTGGCTTCTGCACTTGCTCAATGTAGCAACCGCTCAAGCAATAGTGATCTCACCTAAATGTCGAGGATGCTAACAGTGCCCACTTTGCTGGGGCTATTAGAAAGAACAAGATTGTTGACATTCACAAAAACATCCAATACAGTATCTGACACAAAGCAAGTGCTAGGTAGGGGATGGTTTATAAATATATAAAATGTTTTGCAAAATCACAAGGAATGTTTGAGATGCTAACCTTGGATGTAGTGAGAAATCACAGAAATTTCCAGTAATATTTTTTTATTTTTTATTTTGCCAGTCCTGGGGCTTGAACTCGGGGCCTAGCCACTGTCCCTGAGCTGCTTCTGCTCAAGGCTATAGCACTCTACCACTTGAGCCACAGAGCCACTTCTGGCTTTTTCTACTTATGTGGTGCTAAGGAATCGAACCCAGGGTTTCCTGCATGCTAGGCGAGCACTCTACCACTGAGCCACCTGCCCAGCCCAATTTCGGTAATATTAAGGAGGTTGAAGTACTCTCATCAACTAACTGCTGGAGAAACTATCATCTGGGCATAAACTTCTCAAAATCAAAATCATACATATACACGCATACAATTCTGCTCATGTCGCTTCTAGGGATTTATCTTGATAACATACTCAGGCAGGGAAATTGGAAACATAAGAGAATGTCTAGCTTAGCGCTCTTTACAATAATGGAAAAGCGCCTGTCACAATTTCCTGTGAAGTTATACATCACAGTGGCTCTTCCTATATCAACCAACAATGTATCTATTTCTTCTGTTCTTTAGTAAAAGGGTGAGTTATAAAGCTATCTTGTGTGTCATCTCATGCATGTTGATATTTTATAACCAATTTTAACAGACACCTGCACTCAGACATGTTAAAAAAAAAGATCTCTTACATGTTAGCAGTAGTCATCTAATAAGCAGGTGGATTGGCATCTGAACTTTCCTTGCTTATGCTTTTCTAAGTTTCCCTGTTTCTGTGAAACTATATTATTATTATGTCAGAAAAAAATATACTAATTTAAGCGTAATAAGGTAGCAGCGGGAAAATGTTCTTGTGGCTTCGTTAGTCTCTCATGTGAACAATGCTGCTCTGTAACAGAACAACAAGCCTCTAAAAAAAAATCTCCAAAATATTTGTGAGGACTATTAGAAACTTCTGTGTGGAAAACTTTCTGTACAAAATACCAAATGCAATTTTAATCCCTCCTATGTTTCCTCCGTAGCTATTTTTCAGGTAGGATCTTGTGGTTTACCCCAGGCCATCCTGAAGCGCAGTTCCTACTGATACATCCCATGTAGCTGGGATGACTGATGTGTACCCCCTTGGCCAGCCTTCTAGTTGATATGGGGGCCTCCTTAACTTTCTGCCTGAGCTGCCCCTGAATTATGATCCTTCTGATCTCTGCTTTATTTGGTTATGTGCAGAAAAAAAAGTTGTTGATCTCTTGTTTAGAATCTAGGGAAAGTCACATCATTTCCAAATGACTTTAGACATTTTCCCACTGAATTGAGCTTGGTGAATTTAGACAATACCACCAATATTTGAGCAAAGGAAAAAAAGTCTTCATCATTTTTCCTTTTAATGCTCATAAATGACGCAACGCCAGAAGAGCAAGAATATATCTTTTGTCTCCAAGGCTGCCTGCAAAAGTCACAGATGAGGAATAAAGCAAATAGAAAGACCAAGATGATTTCTTTTGGGAAACTGTCTGGGAAGAAAGCCAAAAATCAAAAACTAGTGTCCAGGCTGATACACAGCAATAAAGAATACAATGACATGCACCCATTGGAAAGGTACAATTGCACAAAAACACTCAATTGCAAACACTGAATCAGTGTAACAATTTCCACAATAGGAGGGAAACAAACAGGACCGGGGACAGTGCCACTTCAGATTCCCACTGGTATGAAATCTGTTTTGTGAGTTAGTTTGGTGATGTGTACATGCGAAATTGCACAGCAGTATCTGTATACGTGGGTGGGGGTGTTACTGGGGTTTGAACTCAGGGCCTCTACCCTTTGATCCAAAGACCCAGATCTTTTTGGCTTCAGTTATTTTTCAGAGCGGGCCTTGCTTTTTTTTCCTCCCTGGGAGTAGTCTTAGGCCATGTTCCTTCCACCTATTCTTCATATGTAGTGGGACTTGCCACTCTTGACTTGTTTGTTGAGATGGGGTCTTGCCACACTTTTTTTGGGGGGGGGACTGACTCTGAACTACAATCTTCTCCAGCTCTTAAGTAGCTGGGATGACACACCTGTGACAACATGCCTGGAACAGTATCCACATCTTTTCATATGCCTCTAGTATCTTATTAAAAAGCTGGATGAGTACACCACGCTGTTGTTTAGGATGAAGCCCACTCTACACGCCCTGCCCCCCCCCATACACACTACTGTCTGTGAATACAGGATCTGGACACTAACTCAGCCAGAAAGGGAAGCTATCCAGCTAATGTGCTCCACAATGAGCCTTCAGGAACTCACTGAGAACACTCTGCTCGCATAAAAGGGCAAAACAGAAAACACAATTTACCTTCATTTCACAATATATTTAATCAAAAAGGAATAGAGAGACCGAGAGTACTACATTGAGAAATAACTAAATTACAGTCTTACCTCCATCTCCCGCTCACTTAAAGCATCAAGTCAATTTCCAGTAATCCTGTCTGTTTCCATTTTCTCATATATAACGTTTGGGAGAGTACTACTCTCTCCTTTCTGTTTCTATCTACCTGTGGGGCAGGGGGAGGATTCTTTGAGGATTTCTTCTCTAGGGTGCCCATAACAATATGTCCAGTAGCTTTAGGACACACACTAGACAGAAGCGAAAACAGGGGCATTTGAATGGCAAAATGTGGCAGTCTGGTCATTTGACAGCTGTGCACATTTCAGTGATGGCCATGTTCTATTGAATGAAAGTGTATCCACAGCAATTGCAGGGAGTCTATGTGGACATCTCATCTCAGACGAATTCCTGAGGTCTCACCATACCTCTAGTATTACTATGGGACCAGAGTGTTTCCTCTTTAAACATGCTAGAATTTGGCAACAATGTGGTGCACTGGTGAACCAGGGTCTGCGGGCAGGCCACTGGGGATTGGAATCTGATGAGAAACCCATCCCCAAAGAGGACACGTGGAGGCTTTAGAGCTTTCTAGAGTCAACGTGAGAAAAGATGTATGTGTGCGTTTCTCTACATACAAGGCAAGGTTCTGCTGCAGAGTGCATTGTGAGAATTCCATTCTGCAGTGGTGGTTGGCAGCCGCCCGGACACTAGAGACTGCTAGATAAGGCTCTGCTCTGCACTTCCCTGCTGTGTGCCCCTTCTTCCAGCCTCAGTTCTTTCATTTGAAAATGGGAAGGGGTTTCTCCAACTCACAGGGACAATGGGGCTGACATGGATGAAGGAGGAAAGCACTGGACAAGAACCTGCATAGAGGGTGTCAACAGTTGGCAGCTTCTCCCTTCCACCGTCCTCCCACCTTCCCTCTCTCCCTCCTTCTTTCCTTCCTTCCTTTTCTTGCTCCCTTCCTCCTTCCTTCCTTTTCTCCTTCCCTCCTTTTCTTCCTTCCTTCCCTTTCTTGCTCCCTTCCTCCTTCCTTTTCTCCCTCCCTCCTTTCCTTTTCTTCCTTTTCACATCTCTCCCTCCAACTCTCTCTCATTTTTTCCACACGTTCCTCATTCTCTCCCTCTCTTTCCCTTCTCTTTCTGTTGTTCTGAGTTTATATCTGGTGTCTCTTTAATCTTCTCAAAAGTCCTCTGAGGTCCTGTTATTTGGACATTAGCAGGGAAAGACAGAGCAGCTGACTGAAAGCAGGGAACCCGCCCCAAGTCCCACTGGGTGAGTCTGAAGAAATAGTGACTCGAACCCAGGCTTCTGGATTCCAAAGACCACAAGGCTGTACCACGGCACAGTGGTGAGAAAAGTTCCCCAGGTGGCCTGTTGATGCTCTGGGAAATGGTGTTTGTTTCGTTCTGGGCTAGTCTAGCACAGCGGTGCCAGTCAAGTACTCACTGGGAGAAGTTGTGGAAGACTTCAAAGGCACAGAGAAAGCTGGGGGACAAGTCACGTGCTCTGGAGCAGCAATTCCCAACACCCTGTCACCATGATGACATATAGAAAGGTCGTGTGTGTGTGTGTGTGTGTGTGTGTGTGTGTGGTGTACGTGTGCAATGGCGTATGCCTATATGTATTAAGGCAACTCTGTCCCTGGAGATCTCTATCAGTAACTGGAACAGAATCTACCTATGGCCACTGAGGGCGGGACATCTGCCTGTTTTTGAGGTTAACTTTTAACAGATTTAAAGATGTATGATTTGAATCCACGGTCCAAAGGTAGCAAATCCTGCCAGTGCAGGAGCACTGGGGTGGAGGGGAGGATGGGGATGGAAGCACCGCCCCCTCCCCCCACCCCTGAGTATGAGTCACCCCTGCAGCCTTGTCTGTAGGGACAGGAGGAAAGGCACCAGCCGGCCTTGATAGGCACCATAAAAGGAGAAGCTGATGGAGGTTAAAGTGGGTACACAAAAAGCTATCCTTCTAAAAAGGACATAAATCCTACCAGCGCTGTCTGAGAAATTTCCCTGGCCTTCTACTGCCAAGACCTGGCTGGAGAAAAGTGTCACTACAGTAATGTACAAAACCTAAGCCTTGCTTCTTTCTAAAGGAGATCAGCTTGGGCAGATTTCAGTGGGCAAAGTAATCAGATGAAAATCATTTAGTTTAAATGTCCCACTGGGATGTCAGGGTGAACAATCAGAATGGGGAGGAAAAAAAAAAAAGAACTGGCAATGTCTGAAACAACTTTGTGAGACACAAAAGTAACTTTGTACAACAAACTCCCAAGATGGACTTCAACGACAGCTGGGTTTTCAGTACAGACATGTTCAAGGGCTGCCATCTGCAGGCGAGATTCAGTACTGCTAGTTTGGAAAGTCAAGATCCCTGTTTTGTAGCGACACTGCTGAACATGAAGAATGAAGGCATTTGTCAAGTCTCTACCAGATGCAACAAATACCAGATTTTGGGCCTCTGATCTGTGTGTTTCCTGCCTAGTTCTGAGCAGTAAGAAGATCTGGATGGGGAAGGTGTGTGACTCTCCAGATCATCGACAACCCTCTTGCTCTCCCAGTCATATAAGTGGAATGAATCCCTGGATTCTTTGGGGCCTGGTTTCTTTCACTGAACACACGGTTTGTGAGAAGCACCCACCGACCCAAGGATTTTAAGCAAGGAGTGGTTTGACCATTTTCTTTTCATGTATGGACCACAATCTTATCTATTCTGCTTTGGATGAACCTTTGAGCTGGTTTGAATTCCTGGCTATTGCAAATAATGTACCATAAGTGTGTGTCCCATAAGTGGAGTGTATTCATTCTTGAGATAAGAGTCTCAGCAATTTTACCTGGGTTGTCTGTGGACTCACAAACCTCCTGACTCTATTTCCCAAGTAGCTGGGCTATATACACAATTATAATAGTTATATATAATACATAAATATAATATATGTAATATAAATACAATTATGCATAATTATGTATCTATATATTATACATCTATATAGTATTTATATTATATATTTATATATGTAAATATATATTAAATGTCTTCTTCATCTCTGTACTTTCTTATGGCACAAAACACATGGTGATTTATAAAACAGGACAATGTGATATTGGGAGGGAGGCAAAGTGTGTTAACAAAGGTAAACTGGATTCTTCTGGCTTGGCTAAGGAAAGCCAAGTGAGGTCATCTGGGATTCTCGGTCTCTTCCAGAACGAGACTTTCTCCATCCTCTTTCCCCCACTTTCTTTCCTTCAAAGGAGCTCACTCTGCCACCCAGTGTTCTGGAGAATCAGGGAAGGACCGGCCTCTGGATGGGATAAGGGTAGAAACTACTGGGTACTCGTTGCTTTCCCTTAAGAGCCTGTGGAGAGGTCCCAGCGGGGAGCACAGCTACTTTTGTGCCCTTGGCTGGAGGACAGTCAGTCCTCCTATACGGGGGGAGGCAGCTTCAGGAGTGGGGAGTAGGCAGATCAGTGGAATCAGCCCTCAGGAGCAACGGGGTAACAGGTGTCATGACCAGGTCACAGGGCCTAGTTGCCTCCTCGGGGTGTCACCTGATGATGAAACGTGCTATCACCCTCAGCCAGGTCTGCGTGGCGAATGAGGAAGAAAGGCCAATCTTCTTATCGTAGACCAGGATGTGACTTTTCTTTGAGGCCCTCATCAGAAAAATCTATCTACTCAAGCTCCATCTTCTACAGGAGCAGTGAAGGGAGGGGAGGGAGGAAGAGACAAAGGACAGGATGATGGGAAGGCAGGTGGGAGGGAGATCAGGTAGAAAAGAAAAGTCGAGGGGATAATGTAAATAAAGGGCCCAGGTTGGATAGGAGGGCTCTGGACAACCTTTGCCACTGGGGTTCATCTCGGTGCTGGGGCTGCTTTGATATAACTGTGTTCCTCTCCTTCCTGGACTAGAAACTGTGGACAGTGCCCCATGAAGACGAACCATCTATCTGAAGACAGATTCCCCTGGCTAAGAACCCTCAGTCAGTCACCACACACACCAAGTTCTTATCTTGAAACTTACTGTGCAAATGAAAATTTGATCCGTGCTTGGATTTCTGTCCACTCTTCCTTTATAATCTTTCCACACTGGAGGAGCTCCTTGGAAATGTTGTCTGCTTTTGTCAGATTCTCTGAGGCTTCCTTATATCTGGATTGTGTTCAGGAAACTTTTCACTCGGTTCTAGATTTCTAGGACTTGGAGATTATGGAATTCATCTGGCTCTTACGCTTCCTATCATTCTCCCAGTCATCTAACAACTTTTTAGTTGGCCTTATGGACTAGATATTAAGTATTATGTGAGCAGTATACCTAATAGTGCAGATTAGAGGCAAAGGATACTTTTGAAGAGAGAGTAAGGCTTTCCCCAGGGTGCAGAAGAGCTCTATAGAACACTTGAAAATGTCCGTGTTGTCTTTATAGGGAGACACAATGGAGCTGACCAGGATTTCCTTGGCTTTTTCTGCATGTTGTTTTGCTTGCAGTGAGAATCCTACAAAGAAAGAGAAGTCTCAGTTTCTCTACAACCTCAGCATGACAGAAACATCTTCATGGCCAGGGAATCTAACAAGCTCCCCACCTATTGTCTGGTGATACATGATATATCTGGGCAGCAGGAAAAGAGCATCATGATTGTACCAACCAACAAAATGCAGTCATCCCAGTTTGCCTAGCCGGAGAGGAAATGATACTGTTTTCTCCCTCCTGAAACCATCTCTCTTCTTGTTTCTCTTGAGGAAAACAGGCGATCCTTGCCTACTGCACATCTAATCCAGGTGATTTGGATTAGACCCAAGTTAGCCTACTTAGAATGTACTGAAATTCTGGGATGTTTAGCAGGGTATTCTTTGTCTCCTGGGAATTTCTGGAGCAGCTGGCATCACTGTTGCTGCCAGGTGTACAAAGCCTGACTAAGGATGGAGCCAAGAAAACAGATCCAAGTGATGAGAAAAGCAAGAAACTGAAACCTGGTCATATTGTTCAAATATCAGCCATAGCTAAGGAATAAGCAAGTTTAACCCTTGGACATTTAAATATGAGCCAATGTGTTTTTAGTTCTTCTAACTTGTGTTAGCCTTTTTAATTTGACTGTTTGTTACTTATAGTCAAACAACTCTTCTTCATCAAGAATGATATTCTATTCTAAGCTGCTCTCCCTTGTCTTGGGTTCTTTTATAATACCTTTCATAAGCTCACAGATGAACTATCTCCTAAGGATCTTAATTTTAAGATAATAAACAGGGCTGGGAACATGGTTAGTGGTAGAATGCTTGCCTAGCATGCATGAATCCATGGTTCCATTCCTCAGTACCACATAAACAGAAAAAGCCAGAAGTGGCACTATGATTCAAATGGTAGAGTGCTAGCCTTGAGCAAAAGAAGCTCAGGGACAGAGCCCAGGCCCTGAGTTCAAGCCCCAGGACTGGCAAAAATAAAAAAGATAATAAACAAATACTTAGAAGGTTACAATCTTTCTTCCTTCTCCCTCTCCTCTGTGATGTATCTTGCTGGCTTATCACCATTTGGAAAGAAGACTATCCTACATCCTGACCCTTCTAGCTGAGTGTGAAGCAAATTTGGGGGATGAACAACAGAAGCCAACCCACTGATCTTGCTGGATCTGAGATGAGCTCACCTTTCAGCTGGAGGTAACCCTCAGCCAGATTAACGTGTGCGTCTGCTAGTTTCCAATGTGAGTCACCATAGCAAATTCTGGTCAATGCGAGGCAACGTACAAGCTCCTGGATCGCCTGTTTGTACTGTCAGAGAAGAAAGTGAAGTTACCTACGATCCGACAGCCAAAACATTTAAGAATCACAAAGCATGAAACAAAATCTAACTGTATATCTGTCCATTCTCTTAAATGCAGGGTTCTAGCCAGGTGATTGTGGCTCATGCTTGGAATCCTAGCTACTCAGAAGGCTGAGATCTGAGGATTCCAGTTTAAAGACAGTCCAAGCAGGGAAGTCCATGAGACTCTTGCCACCAGTGAACCAGCAAAGAGTTAGAAGTGGAGCTGTGGCTCAAGTGGCGGAGTGCCAGCCTTGAGTAAAAAAGCTAGGTCCTGAGTTCAAGCCCCAGCACTATCACACACACACACACACACACACACACACACACACACACACACAAGCAATAAAAATAAATGTTGCCAACTGGTGAATCATAAGTTTCCTGTAAGTCTGAAACTATTTTAAAATAAAAACTTGCAAAAAAAAGTGAATATTTAAAAAGCATCTACTTTTTACCACGTGAAAGTTCCAAGAGCCCTTGGCTACTTCACATGCAACATGCAAGGCCTCAATGAACTGATCATTTTGCAGACTACATTTCATTTTAACCCACAGCTCCCTCTTTCACGTCAAGCATAGCACCTCCTGCACACCTACCTTGTAGATTATAATTACATGTACCCTTCCCTCTCTTGAGGACCCTTCCCTCAGCTCCTCCATGCTGGTCCTTTTCCTCCTTAGTCCTCAGCTCACTTGTACTTACTGTGGGTGTGTCCACTGCTGGGCATGGCTTGGTTGGGCCACACTTACTTGGGTTATAGTAAGTTCTTTCACTTACATGTTTCTTCCTATGTCACTCCTGAGATTAGGAGTGTAACCTCAAAACCATCCTTCTCTTGGCTGCGCCTGAGAGCCTGCCTCCCAGGGCACAGGTCTAGAAGGGGAAGACTCCTTACCTGGTGATTGCTGAAGTAGGACCTCACCCTCTCCTCACACAGGTGGAGTTTCTCTCTCGGAGGCTGGAACAGCGCGGTCTGGGGCAGCTTGTTAGGAGACTTTTTTCTAGAGGTGATGCTGACAGCAGCCACTACTTCATCTAGATGGCTGGAAATGTGGGTGTCTTGCGATTCCTGCATATTCTCACTTGCATTGTCCTCTGATTGTTAAACACAGAAGGGAAAGGTGTTAAAAGATTGTTTCTGGGGCTGGGAATGTGGCTTAGTGGTAGAGTGCTTACCTAGCACGCATGAAGTCCTGAGTTCAATAGCTCAGTACCGCATAAACAGAAAAAGCCAGAAGGGGCCCTGTGGCTCAAGTGGTAGACCACTAGCCTTGAGCAAAAGAAGCTCAGGGACAGTGCCCAGGCTCTCTGAGTTCAAGCCCCAGAATTGGCAATAAATAAATGTTTCAACTGCTACTTTTCAGGGTTCACTTTTTTTTCCTTTAGAATTGAGGTTAGAATCTAGGAAAATTTCAACACTGTACCTATGACTTCTTTAAAAGAGTTTTGGCTTATTTTCAGTTTTAGCTAAACCAAACAGTCTTGGTTAAAAGAATGAATATCTATCTAGCTAGCTAGCTATCTCTCACTTATACTTGCTGAGCCCAAGTAAGCCTAATGAATTCCTCAACTAATCTACAGTCAGAAAATAAATGTTAACCCTTTACTTCTGGCTAAATGGAATAGTTGGAGTGATGTATGCAGTAAAAATCACCACGCACGCATGTGCGCGTGCGCACACACACACACACACACACAACAACAACAACAAACTAGGAAGGCACTCTATAGCTCAGTTATGCCTCCACTACTTCAGAATAACATCTTTCTAAAGATAATAACTTTTTCCTCTTTAAAGTACGCATCATTCTATTGATTGAGACAAGCTTTTAAACAAAGCAAAATCAAGGCAGACTGTGTAGGAAGGGATCAGCAGCAGAGGGAGAAAGAGGGAGTACTGAGGGATGATGATCAAAGGATATAACAAACACACATATGTTAATGTATTCATAAAAAGAATTTTGTGATATAAAAATAATCAATGTGTGTTGCATCATGCAGCACAAAAGCCTACTCTTCAGTTCATTTACTTTGAGGTACATGCCTATCATCAACCACTCTCCTTTTTTTTTGTAACAGGCAGAGCTAGAGTTTAAAATCTCATTAGAAATCAGTGTGGGTGGCTCCCTACAGCATCCTCTTCCTGCCTGCCCTGGGTTGGCTTCCCAGGCCTCTCTTAATTTGCACCCACAACTGCCAGTCAGACTTATCCAATCAATTAATGTTCCTTCTGCCAGACCTACCTAGTAGAATGCTGAAACACATGATAGGCCCCAGATCAGAGGAAGAGGAAGAATACGGGGTTTGAGTCTTGCAGGTCGGTCTAAGAGGTGTTGTTAAAAACATTTAGTCTCTTTGGAACCACTTACCTTCAGATACCAAGGGTCTACTGGATTAATGAACATGCGTTCATCACGATATGTATAGAAACAACATCTGAGACACTTAAATGCCTACTGATGAGAAAAACTTTCCCAACCTGATGAAAATCTCATGAGAAGACCTAAAGCTAACATCATACTAAGTTGTGAACGTGGGAATGCCCTTGTCTCTGGATTGGAAATAAGGCAAGGATAGTTTCTCCCACCAAACTATATTCAAGAGCATAAAGAATATTCTAGCTAGGGTAACAGGGGAAGAAAAAGAAAGAAAGGCATGCAGAACAGAAAGGAAGAAAGAAAACTTCATCATCAGATGACATGATCGTGTAGGTAGAATCCAGGAAAAGTGAATAAAAGAAGTTCCTTCTAGAACTACTAAACAAGTTCAGGAGGGTTATAGGATACAGAATAAGTCAACAAAAATCTCTTCCCTTCTTTTCCAAATTAAGGCTTTGCTGTATACCACAGGTCACCATCACACGCATAATCCTCCTTTCTCAGACTCTTGAGTGCTAGAATTATAGACATGACTTGACATATCTGGCTTGGAATTTTATGCATCTATACACTAAAAATATATAACCTGAAAATAAAATTAAGAAAACATTTCCATTCATAATGGCATCAAAACAGTAAAATACTTAGGCATAAATATAATGAAAGAAATATATGACATAAATGCTGAAAATCAAAGAAGTGAAACATCTAAATACATAAAGAGACATCTTCTATTCATGAATTTGAAGCCTCAAAACGACTAAGATAACAATATTTCTCAAATTATCTATAAGCATAATACAATCCTTATCCAACTCCTAACTGCTTTTTCAGGGGAGAGGGGAAAAAGGTAGAAATTGACAAACTGAGCTTTAAGTTTATATAGAAAATGCAAGAGACTCAAAATAGAACATTTAAAAAAAAGGAAAAAGAAAGTTGGTGAACTCAAACTTCCCAATGTTAGAAATTATAAAAACTAAGAGTGAAACTTTGTGGTGATTGGCTTTGGTAGAGAAGACATCGTAAGTGTTCTCATCAGGTAATCAATGGTAATCATGTCGGGTGATTATCTGAGCCAGATCGTGGGAATCATTACATAAAGTACACTTACATCAAAATATCATGTTGCGTGCCTTCAATCTATGCACATTTTTATTTCTCGAATATAAATTTGACAGTATATATTTATTAGTAGTGTATATTTATTAGTCCACAGAGCAAAGGACAACAAAATATTGCAGTGCTGGTCTCAGACACAACTATGGAAATAAAGATATAGAACAACAGGAAAGAGGTGAGACTCCAAGAAAAAACCCTTACATATACAGCCAATATTTTTTCCCATTTTTTCCAGTGTTGGGGATAAAAATCCAAGGCATTTTATATCACTTATGCTTTGGACAAGGTGCCAAGATAATTCAATGGAGGAAGACTAGCTTTCTAAGAAAATAGTCCTCAAGTGGGCCTTTCACATTCAAATAAAGAATGCTGGACCTCTACCTCAAACCATATATAAAATTTAACTCCAAATGGAGATGTAAAGTAATTAAAGGCATAAAACTAGCATACGTCAGAGAAAATCTTCATGAGCCTGGGTTAGAAGATTTCCCAAGTACTGAACTAAGGGATAAAAAATAAAAGAAAAAGGTATATTAACTGAATTTTATTAAAAAGAAATATGTTCCTTCAAAGTTTATCAATACTAAAGTTAAATGACAACCCACAGAATAGAATAAAATATGTGCAAGTCACATATCTGATGAAGTACTCCTATCCAGAATACATAATGTTTACAACTCGATAATAAGATGACAAAAACTCAATTAAAAATAGGGAAAATATTTGAATAGACATTTTACAAAGATATATGTGTGGCCAAAAATGCTTAATATTATTAGTCATTAAAAATGCAAATCAAAATTGCAACAAGATACTACCTCACATCTACCAGAATGACAATAATAATAATAATAATAATGACAGACCATAGAAATGTAGATGAGAATGTAGAGAAACTGGGACTATCATAAAACACTGGTGGTTTTGCTTGTCTTGGAAAATATTTGATAGTCTTCAAATGTTAAATGCAGAATACTGTATGACTTACCACTTCCACTCCTTGGACTCGGAGCGGATATCTTGGAGAGCTGAAAACTCATGTTCACATAAAAACTTGTGAAAGGGTAGACTAATTAGGGCTCAGGGTTCCTTGAGAGTATCTTGGCTTGGCCAATGGAGACCAGATGGGAAAAGATTAAAAACTGTTTCAAAAAAAGTACCATCAGGAAACAAAGCATCTTGCCAGCACCCTTCTCTAGTTCCTTCTGGTTCCTCAAGTTCTGAATACCTTCCCACCCATAGAACATAGCTGATTTGGAATTAGTAACCAATCAGAATGTCACAAGGCTCAACCAATAAAATGTCACCTTCCAAGCATCTAATTATAATAGGGGGAAAGTCACACTCAAACTATGACATCACAAGTCTGAACTGATTGGTTGGTTGTCCTGTGCCTTATTTGCATAGGGCCAACCAATCCGAGCACAGCTCAGGATATAAAAAGTGCCTAGACACAGCCACTGGAACACAGGAGCAGAGTGGCAACAGCCTTCAATGCAGACGCTTCATTTCTGGAATTTGTCAGACAAGAACTTGAGAGTGACAGCGGCAGCAGCCAGCAGTAAAGTTATAATACCAGCAGGCTGAGCTGCAATACTAGCAGGTGTTTCCTTACAGGGCTCCAACACTGGAGCCAGAAGGGATATCAATGGAATGGGCTCTCTCTGCCTGTTTGATAAATTTGTATGGTCCACCAATACAAATGATGTTACAGATTTTCACACAGAAGGTTCCCCAGTTCCGAGGAATTAACAGCCACAAAGGTAACCTCAAGTCCTCCACATGAAATCTCTGCTCTCGGATATTACCACCATCTCATTCCCACTGGAGTTCTTTGCTCTTAGGAACATATAAATTGTCCAGTCACTAAAAATATTATTTATACATTTTGATAGAAAAATCCAGTTGGAGAAACACTGACAGTTATTCTTACCTTTAAGGGTAATTTTATTGTTAAAAAATGAGTCCTTAAATTATAAAAAGAATGTTTCTTGACTTTGCCCTCAAATGAAATGTCAACAATCTGTAGGGAAAACCCTGTGAATAGTTGAAGGTAGTCAGGTCTGGGGTAGGTAGTACCGGGGTGGGTGGGCTTTATATAAAGAAAATATTAACTTCTTCAAGTTGCAGGTCTGCATAGGTTAGAGATATGGAGTGGTGGAAAGGCTCATTCCCTAGAAACCCATGCCTATGAAGGTTTAACTGCACACCAACAGATCTCATAGCAGAATTAGTGAAAGATCAGAAATGGTGAATAGGCATTTTACTGCCATTGCTGAGAAGTGGAACAAGTCAGTTCAATGACACCATATTTCCTTTACTTTCTCATCAAGAGGGCTGGGCTACCAAAAAGAGCTAAAAAGGATATTATCTGATGAGCCTGGCCACGTACAACGTCAGCCAATGGTGGCAGGAGAACTTGTCTCCTGTTTTCCATACCTAGAGATTCCTCCTTCTCTCTCTACCTAATTAAGAACCACTGGTGGGTTACAAAGACACCTGCACACCCATGTTTATTGCTGCACTCTTCGCAGTAGCCACCTTACTAGATCAGTCTAGATATCCATCAATGAATGACTGGATTAAGGAAATAAGGTAGCTATCCACGATGGAGTATTCTTATACATCCACAAAGAAGAATTTGCAATAAACTGCATATTGTTAAATGAAGTAAGCCAAACTCACAAAGACAAATTTTTTTTTTTTACCATGTGTGTTCTACTTATTACCAACACCACCAACACCACCATACCTACCTAATACGGCAGTGCTAAACTAAAAAAAAAAAAAGTGTTTTTGAAAGATACAAAGAAATGCAACAAGGTTTATGTTATTTATAGGTGTTTTGATAAAATGCCCAAAGCCATTTCTACTGTTATCTTTTCTTCTCTATATGGGGATTGAACCCAGATTCTCACCAAGTGTTCTGTCACTTGAGCTATGACTCGAGACATTTTGGTTTTATTTTGCTGTTGAGATAGGGTCCTGCTAACTTTGTCCAGTCTTGCCTTGAAGACTTTCTGAAATCTCCTGCATCTGCCTCCTCGGTAGCTAGAATTACAGGCATGTACTGTTATGTTCAATTCCTCATATAACAGATGGACTACCTATTATGCCAAGTATAATAATCTACAAAAAACTCATTCCATTTAAAGATTACAGTATTATTAAGTATATAAACACATATTTAAGCAACAAAACCACAAAACATAGCTTCTTACAACAGAGAATAATCTATAATGAATCCTAACTTGTTTGCATTACCTTTCAAAAACTCCATTGATAATCTGGGGAAAAGGTATCCAACTTCAAAAGAGAAAAACAAAATGCCTTCTTGAAAACTCTTCCTCCTGCTATCCTTAAATTGTGCCTGTGTTTTCTCTGGATTTCCTTTTGGCACTCCTTGCCAACTAACGAACACCAGAAAAAAGTCTCTCAAACGTCCAACAATGTGGTAAAATCCTTTGTCAGTTCACCCAGTCTGGTTGAGAACATCGCCATTCCTTTTTCGAGCAAATCACAGCGGTCCTGACAGTTGAGCGTACCAGTTTGGTTCCTGATGTATCTGTATGGTGATTCTTCGTATAGATTGATAACCATAAATTTGTCTAAGGTACAGTAGCTTTCAGAACAATCTTCCTGTAAAGTGCTGAGGGTACCTCACAAAACTCCAGACAGACTGAATGATGGAGCATCCCATCCACCAATCGCAAGTGCAGAAACAGGATTTTGTCAAACTTTGTAACCCAATCCTTGGGAACTAGAGGTGGGAATTTTAAATGGGGTTGTCTTTTCCTTGGAATTTACTTAAAGTGATATGCACTGCCTGTTGATTTGCAAAGTCAGTCAACGTCAGTAAAACTAATTTAAATGAGAGAATTCCCTCTTCTAAGTGAAACAAAAATATGTAAATTGACCCTCTAAAACTTGATAAAACTGTAATAGTGATATTAAAAGTGGTGATATGTATGATTATATATAATTACCTGGCAACTTTTGTGCCAACTTGACAAGGGTTAAAAGTTATTTTAGGCTGGGCACCGGTGTGGTGTCTCACTCTGCAGGAGGCTGACATATGAGGATTGCAGTTCGAAGCCAGCCCAGGCAGGAAAGTCCATGAGCCGCTTATCTCCAACAAACTACTCAGAAAAAGCCAGAAGTGGTGCTGTGGCTCAAGTAGAAAGAGTGCTAGCCATGGGCACCAAGAGGCTCAGGAACAGTGACCAGTTCCTGAATTCAAGCCCCAAGACCAGAAAAAAAAATTAATGTTATTTTGTGATCATATTTATGATCACATTTTAATGTTTTTCATAATCAAGTATCAGAGTTTAATATATGAAAATATGCCAATTTCTATTTTTTTAAAAATAAAAACTAAGAAGCTACAATAATTTATTTATTGCTAGCCTATTTTGTGACTTTCAGTACTAGCAGCAAATCTCATTTGGGTTGATCCTAAATACTCTATTTTTTTTCCCTTTGTACACAAACTGTTTCCCTTATTTTAAACCCAAGGGGAAAAATTCTGAGGTACTAGGAAATTCTATAAAAAGTCTTAAAATCACGGGACAAATCTTTGCCATATACTTCAGTAACTCCTGAAGACTAGTTTTAATAAGTAACCACAATATTTTATATATTCTTATTATGTCATAGCCTGTATTTTATGATTGTGTTTTCTAGGCTATTTCATTTTTTTTCTCTAGATTATTCCAAAGAGTAAGCCAAAATATAAGTGCTTCATTTTAAAGTTAAGGTTGCTTGATAATGAAGCCCTAGCAAATTAATATATGTAATTTTTGTTGTTGTTTTTGGTAGGGTGTTCACACGTGCTTGGCGCCCACGTGCACCGGGTCTGAGGCTTAAACACAGGACCTGGGCACTGTCCCTTCAGTTTTTTGTTTTTTTGTTTTTTGCTCAAGGTTGAGCCACTTGAGCCACAGCTCCACTTCCAGCTCTTTTTGGTGGTTAACTGGAGGTAGGAGTCTCAAGAACTTTCTTGCCTGGTTTGCCTCGAGAACTCAGTCTCCTGAGTAGCCAGGATTACAGGAATGAGCCACGGTGCCTGGCAGATTTTTTTTTTTTTAACTCTTCCTTGGCTCTATCTTTTGATGCAATTTTCTTCTTGAAGAAACATTTTCTACCTACCCAGTCGTGCTAGGAACTACCACAATATCTTAACGAAACTGTTCTGAGCCTCACAAGTGCCAGGGGCACCTGCGGGCCGTGGCCGGGGTTTAATCGGTGCTGTGAGCCCCTAAATCCAGGGTTTGAGCCCCGTTTGCTAACCTTGTCGGCCTTAAGGGGTGGAAGGGGTGGTGGTCAGAATCCCTTCAGACAGGTGCGCTAACACCTGAGCTAGGGGATTGCTGCAGAGACCCAAATAGATCACCCCAGCACAGGTCAAGGCGCTCAGTGAACTACAGTCAGCAACAGATCGATCCCAGGGGCGGACGCTTCCTAAACCACCCGCCATAGGTATCTAAGTCAAAGGCCTCTCCATCCACAGGAAGTCCACAGCCGGAGCCGGAAGTAATATCGGAACAGTGGGTGGGGCCATCCGGAGGAAACAGCACTCTCGGCCAATGAACAGGCAGCTTGCTGGGGGACACACGGGCCTCTCGTCTCACCGCGAGAACTGGGGTGAATTACCGCGAGGCTTTGCTCGCCACAGGTTCTCTCCGGCAGGACTCCCGGCAGTGCAGGTTCCGTCCCGCCCCCCGGCCCCGCCCCACCTCCCCGCCCCTCCCCGCCCCGTCCCGCCCCGCTCACAGGCCCGGCCGGCCTTCCAGCGCCGCCTGCGCGCCCAGCGCCGGTTCTCCTGGTACCCGGGTGAGTGCTGCCGTCCGGAGGGTCCGGACTCCTCCGCGCCTCCGCTTTGCCCGGGGCCCGGCCGGGGATGCGCCATACTCGGGCGCCGCGCGAGCATCTGGGCCTCGGCCGGAGGCACCGCGGGTTCGGGCCTCGGGTCTCCGTGGCCCTGACTCCCTGCTGCCCAGTCGTAACGACTTCAGCTAGGATCTGGCGAGTTATGGCTAAGACTTCTGCTAGAGCTGGGAAATCATTTGACAAATGCTTGTTTGGTAGGTGCCGGTCCTGAGGCTTGAACTCGGGGCCTGGACGTTGTCCACCTCTCCCCGCCATCCGCCCCCCAGGGTAGTGCTCTGACCCCTGGAGCCACAGCTCCACTTGTGGCTGTTGGGTGGTTAATTGAAGTCGCAAAGATTGATCTGCATAGGCTGACTTCGAAGCTCAGTCCTCAGATCTCAGCCTCTAGAGTAGCTAGGATGACAGGCGTGAGCCACCCGGCGCCCGGTTTACAAATAGTTTGTAAATACTCAGTTTGTAATCCTCTGATCTCCAGGGTTTGAAAGGTGGGATGGATGTTCTATCAGATCCAGGATGATTCAATCCATCCTAAGGACTCTTATGATACGCCTGCTTAAAATGGGTAGACATTATCGAATGGGTGCATTTTTTTTCTATTTGCTTTGTTTTAATAAGAGTAGTGCTTTGTCAGAAAGCTCATGTTGGAGGTGCAACTGTATACAATTAATATTAAACATTTTCTTTAGCTATATGGACAGGAAGTGGTTAAGAGAAAGGAGTAAGAAAACGAGCCTGTGAAAAGGTCTAGTGGCTTCCCTCTTAGAAAGCCGGGAGCATTGCTGATTATTGACAGCTTTCTGGTTTCATTTGTCTATGTTTTCATCTCCCAATCTGCTTTCCTAGGAAGATTCATTTTAAAAAGATGTAGTGTTTTCGAAGCACCCAGTTACAGCCCAAGCACCCAAGAACCTGATGGAAAACCTTAGTGAATTCTGTCTGATGTCCTTGAATGTGGATTTTGGCTGTCCATTTGCTTCCATTTGTGTGAGCTTTGTCCAACATATAAATGATGATAACACATAAAAAGTGGCATGGTACGGTTGTGCACAGACCACCTTCATTGCAATTTTGGCAAGGTACCTTCTGAGAAACTCTGTTCTCATCCATAAAGTAGGCTAAGTAATGTCTGTTGCAGTGTTGTGAGGATTAGCTATCTTATAGCAGCTACCAATCCTGTAGAATCAGTAAGTGGTCTTGAGGTGAGTAGATGAAGTGCCACCATTATTCCACACATTCTAGTTTTATCTATCTTATAGCTCTTTGAAGACAGGTTTAGATCCTATGCTAAGTGAAGGTTTGCAAGGTGGAAGAAAGCAACTGATCTCTGCCCTCAGGATTCTACAAGTACACCAATAAGTACGTAGATTACAAATTGTGAAGAGTCCTATGAAATCCTGTGGAAGGCTTCAGGGCCTCCTGGAAAACCAGGAGCTTTATTGATTATTAACAGCATTTCTTATTGATTATTAACAGCATTTCTACTTTATTTGCAACAGCTGGGTCACTCAGAAAGACTACTCCAGGAGTATATTAGTTTGAGATAGGAAAGTGATTTTTATATTGAAAACTGGAGATTTTAGTTTCCAGGCTAGAAGGGTAACAGCAGGTGCTATGAAGAATTGGGTAGTTCCAAAGAAAAGCCCAGGAACTTGGTGAGAAGCCAGGCAGTTTTGAGAGGAGGCTGGTGACATGGGTTGGCCTGATGTGAAGAACTCTGAAGCTTGATATGAGCTTGTTTTTTAAATTGTTTTTTTTTCCTGAATGTTTTATTTAGTGTGTATTTAGTAAGATATGTACATAGGAGTGAGGGTAATTGTATGTACATTTTCCTTTTTCTCTTTTCTTGGTCCTACTAGGATTTGAACCTCATTCCCACTGCCCCTTTGTAAAACAATCTCAGCAGATTTCATTGTTCTGTTTTCACACATGCAGATAAACTGTCTCAACTGTATTCATCTCCATTCATCCTCTTCATTATCCCTCCCCCCTCACAGTGGCACCTACCCATCATCCAAACTGTTTTACTTTCTTGTCATTATTAGACCTATTTCTTATAGTGGTAAATATTGCTCAATCGGAATATTTTTATTAGATTGTTATTAATTTTAATTTCCTGAGTATGTCTGACAATTTCATCTGTCAAAAGGGCACAGGGTGGATGTATCATTATCCTTCTAATGTCTGTGTTTATGTGCTAATATGATGGTATAGTAATGTGTGTGGGAAGTCTCATAATGATTATAATTGTTGTCTTTGTAGAAATGGACCAATTTTGACAAGATGTAGTGCTGCAATTCGCCTCATGGGATATGTACCGTCATGGCATCCGAACTTTGTAAGACGATCTCTGTGGCAAGGCTTGAAAAGCACAAGAACTTGTTCTTAAATTACAGGAATCTCCACCATTTCCCACTGGAGTTGTTGAAAGATGAAGGACTACAGTACTTGGAGAGACTCTATATGAAAAGAAACTCCCTTACAACCTTGGTACAGTATTACATTGCTTTACAATAATTTACAAATGTAGTTGTGACCCAGATATCGTACTTGTCCCCAGACATTCAGACTAAAACATGTATACTCTCTTGTTATATATGTATGGGGAATATTTGTAAAGGGCTCTCACTGCGTGATCCAAGTTCTTGAAGTTAGGTGATGTTACATGAGGAGCTGTGTAGGAAAAGCAAAGTGTTCTGCAGTGTACTGCTTAAAAGATTTCTCCTCACTCTACTTAGCCTGTGTGTCTATCCTAGCTTGTGCTTTT